TCCTGAGCCAGAACTATCGGCGGCTCGGCCGCCAGCGGCCGGGCGGTAGTGAGGGAACAGGAGGTGTCGTCTCGGCCCGAAATGTGCAACTAATTCCGAGCGCTGCTATATATAGACTATAACAATTCATAATTGTTCGCGAAAGAGCTTGTACGTGCGCTGCGATTTTGAAAAAAAAGGGAAGGGCTGATATCACTCAGAGAGAGCGTAGGAGATTTTGTGGAGAACGAAGCGTGACAAAGAGCGACGAGGAATAGCGAGAAGAAATGAGAAATATTGCCGTCGTCTACGAAGCGAGACTGACTTCGATAAGAGCGAGTGAGAGGAGCGAATGAAAAAGAGCAAGAGAGATTGAGCGTGTGCGAAAGGAAAGACCATGTATCATACAATTAAATAATCATTCACTTTTAATTCACCAGATCCGATTTATTTTCTTCGTTAAAATTAAATTAAGAGTTCGAATGACAATTAAATTTTGAAGAATATACAGATAGAAACGAAATAATAATGTGTCTCGAAATTATAATAGTTAACGCAGAGAAATACCAAGCAAATTTTAGACCACACACTAATTTTAGACCACCACATAACTAAAGCGGCTTGCCGAGCAAGGACGATCTTGTTTTTCTCATTTTTAGCTTCGTGTATCGGTGATTCACAACGATAACACTCGGTACGATACTTGTATTTAATATGTCTCTAACAAAGTTTATGAACTCACACTTTTTGCGATGCACGAGCGTATGTCCCAGAAATATTATAAATCTCAAGACTCTCGTTGAATTGATTCGCACGATAGTTCTCAGAAGAGAGGATAACGATCAAAAAATCGAGTCACTTTCCGAAAACCTGGTATCGAGGAAGGGGGAAAGGAGGGGGGTTCTTGAACTGCGCGAAAATTTATTTTACAATTTTTCGGTATACTGGCCGTGCTTAGAGTGGGGCATAGAACGTTGACACAACGCTTCAAGAATATTCAAAGTCGGGTATGGACAGAACTTGAAGTTATTTGCCTTATCAACTAAAGAAAGTAAACTTAATGAATTAACTAAATTAAACAGAGAAAAGTAAAATAAAAAAAATAAAGAAAAATAAAGAACACTTTCAGATGATCTTTAACAATGATTGATTTTAAGAAATTTATTTCTTCCGCATTAACAACCGCAATTAATTCTTTACGTCTAATTTTTCCTATATACATATTTAATTTTGGAATCTTAGAAAACCATTATTTATTTCAATTTTAAAATTACACAGCATTGTATGGCGTTTATGTTCTACTCTACAAGAGGGAATACTAGAGTGTAGGACCTGAATAGTTTAATATAGTGAAAACATTTACTCTGTAAATGGAAAACACTTCGAGGTTTTGACTTCTAGCTTATTGTTAGTCACTCTCACCCTGATATTTTTTCTTGTTTATTATTTTTTTATTTTTTATTAATATAAAATCTCTCATTGAGAGATTATTGTTTGTTGGTACTATGTAGATCAATAATTTATAATTAATTTTTAAAAATTTATTTCTTAAGCATTAACAATCGGAGTCGATTCTTTATGCTTAAAAATTCTTAATTTTAGATAAATATATATTTTAACAACATTACCTGTGAGTACATCATGTTCACCAATGATAACGCCAATTTGATTAATATTTTTACCCTCCACGCAATGAGCTGCCGTCACTATGTATTGTCCAGATATTATAGTACAACCACAATATAAAATTTTGTTAATGCTATCGACGAGTCCGCACATCATAGGATATTCATTTATTGCAGTTTCCTTTCCACCTACTATATATTTATTAGGCTAAATAAACAATTCAAGTAATGTAAAGATATTTCATATTTTTAACATTTAAAATAATATTATATAATTGGATATTTTTAATTATATTTTTTAAATTAGATTTTTAAATAAATTGTTTGTATAAAATTTTTTGCAAATTTAACTTTTTTATAAAAGCTGATCTTTGTTTGTAAATAAACTGTTGAAATTAAGGTTAAAAACTGCTAGCCTTTTTGTTACATGCTTGTCATATTTTAAGTTTACTCTAAAAAAATAAACCATTTTTTAAAAAACGGACATAATTTTCAATTTATTTCAATTATTCTAAAAGATTCTGTTCAATTTATTCAAATTTTTTATTCTCCAAATAAGTATGCTAAAAACGGATTATCTGTTAAAATTAATAAAAACTTTTTAATCGATAAAAACAACTCAAGACTTTAATTGAAGCAATTTGCTTCAAACCTTTGTTTCTCTAAAAAGTGATAAGTTTAACACATTAAGAGGCACATTGTGCTTCGCGTCAAGTTTACATATCATGTCTAGTGCAGTCGATCACCCAAACTGCCAAAATTATAAAAAACAGATTTGTAAAGTGTCTATCACAAATCTTGTCACTAAAAAAAGAAACAGATTTAATATAGAATTTGAAATATCCGATAAAATAAACAAAATATTGGCAAAATTATAACTGGGTCTGCTATTATAAATTGACAGCAGTTTGACAATAGAAACTACGCAATCTGCTAACATAACCTTTTAGCAGACTAGCAGACATCGAGCAACGCAGTATAATCTTATGACAAAGTAAGACAGGAAGTTAAGTTACTGAAAAAATAACTGCAACTGTAATGCCATTACAAATAACGAGTTACTTTCCTATTCTAATTAAATCAATTTTGTGGTGATCAAGTACGCCTTATGAGTAAACTGTTACTCCTGTAACACACACAGTTTCTATACTCATTGTCAGTTCAATGAGAGAAGGATCCGCGGTTTACGCATAGGAGAAGTATAGCGGCCAAAGTGGGGAGAGCGTTGATATTGGCAACGCAGCATTGTACTGCACAAGCAGTTACAGTTCTGTGGAATGGGGGAGTGGTGGCTTTCTAAGTGTCCCGTGAGGGGAGACCTGCGTGAAACGGACGAGTTTTCACCCTATCCGTGGATCCTTTTCTCATTGAATTGATTGTGGGTATATATTGTACATTAGACCGATAACTTGTTCTTTTAACGTGTACTCGAAATGTATGCATTAAAATCTCGCGCATGCGTATTGCGAGGTCCCAAAAGGAATACAGCATATAAAGAAATATAATCGTCTGATACTAAAATTTACAATAACTAAAGAAATATTTTATTACTTATATCATTTTTTATGCAAAAAAGTTTTGTATATAAAAGAAAAAGGATAAAGTTCCGATTAGCGGAACCCTCCGATTTTTTTGAAACTACACTATTTTTTGTATTTTTGCACGTTGATTACAAATATGACAATGAAAATCGCCGACAAGGTCATTTTCAAGGTCAAAACATTAAAAAACTGAAAAAATATCACTTTTTTAACATTATTTTAATAAATATTGACGTAACAAACAAATGTTTAAAATAAAAGTTGTAGTTCTTGTAAAAATACATTATTTATGTTCTATACATTTTTTGCGTAGGACTAAGAGTTTTCGAAAAAAATAAAATAAGAGGAATGACCTTCCCCTGCACCCATATGTAAAGCAGTGTACAGTAGAATCCCGATATAGCAAACCTATCCCTTACACGCGCACGAAGTTCGTTGGCCTTAGCTTGCATGCGCATGCCGTTCAAGAATGTAGCGGCGTGTGCGTATACAATTTATGTATATTTATGCGTAAACAATTTATGTATATTTATTAAATCTGCCTTGCTAAAAATCTAATGAGTCTACAATATACTAAAAATACTAGATACTGAAAAGATTAGCAAGACCCCAACGCAAGGTGTGTGCGCGCAGAAAGTTTATATGAATTAAATCTTCGCCTTACTAAAAGTATGATGAGTCTACAATATACTAAAAATATTAAATACAGGAAAGATTAGCAAGACCCCAACGCAAGGTGTGTGCGCGCAGAAAGTTTATATGAATAGAATCGTCGCTTTACTAAAAGTATGAGTCTACAATATACTAAAAATATTAGATACTGAAAAGATTAGCAAGACCCCTACGCAAGGTGAAGAGCATATTGTGTTTGAAAGTTATTTTAAACTTCTATAATAGTGAATAGCCATGCAATAGGCGGGGGAGGGGCAGAGCCCCTCCC